TACTTTGGCAAATTAAAACATTCTGGCACAATCTCACCCTCAACTGACTGTCACACTTTGAATTTTCTGAAGGTCAGGTGCCTAATGCTGCCTGATGTGCCCAGTCCATCCAGCTGTCTAGGCCAAACCCTAGAAGGAGGAAGCAGCAGCTATGCCAGTGACTGCCAGGCAAGGCCTAGGTTCTCTGTGACAGTGACAATTGCCAAGGTCACATGTTGGGTGGCACTTTACAGAGGGCAGCGGGAAGCACATTCTGCAGAACACCAGAGTTCAGATGGAAGTGACCCATGGGCCAGGCTCTGTGAATGTCAGGTTGGACCAGATGAGCCTGCTCAATGTCAGGGCCAGAGCGATCTCAGGCACTACATACAGACACGTGGTGGGAGCTGAAGGAGACAAGGCACTGGCTGGACTCAGGAGCCCGAGGGACTTCAGCAGAGACATCCCAGCCATCTTGGAGGGCAGGCAAGATAGGTGGATGAGGAAGGCGATGATTCTAAAGGGAGCAATGTGCACAAGGGCATGGGGTCTTAGAGCTAAAAGGCATGTTTCTGGACCAGCAAAGAGCTCAATAAGGCAGAAAAACAGAGCAGGAGGATGGAGAGGGGTGACAAGAGGACAAAAGGGATGGATGGTGAGGCTCTGTGCACCAGGACCATCAGCTGGGTTTTCTCCTGAACATGGTGCTATGCTGGAAAGTTTTCAAAAAAGTATAAGCAGCAGCCTGGCAGTGGTGTGGCGGACAACAGTAGTGATGAAAGCAGGGCTTGTGGTTCCTGGGCTCCCCACTGGTGGCCATGCCCAGCAGCACCAGCTCAAAAGAGGTATTCAACATACACGCACTGGATGGACCCAGAGGTGGCCCAGGGTCAAGATGATGGCAGTAGGGATGAAGGGAAAGAGCACATTCAAAAGACATGTCCAAGGTCAAAAGACTGAGTCAGGTCCTGGTCAGGAGTGCAGGGCAAATCGGGGAAGAGAAGTCCATTTGCATGTAGACCTCAGGCTGGGAAGCAGTACACCCTGGGCCTCACTCACCTGACCCTCAAACACTCACTGCACATGTGCTGGCACTGGCTGGGCCCACAGGTGGCTGAAAACCCAGCCTGGCTCCACAAAACGCAGTGTGCTGTTGGGAGGAGACAAACACGATCCCTGTGGGAGAGAGGCCCTGGTCCAGACACAGGTACGAGTGTGGGGATCACGCAGGTGGAACCTGGTTACCTGAGGCAGCACTCGTTAAGTGCAAACCTGAAAGGGGAAGAGCAGTCCCTCAGGGGGACTTCCAGAGAGGAAGGACACTAGGAAAAACCAGAGCCTGTGGAAGCCAGGAGCAAGCAAGTGCTGTGGCTGGGGAAGCACCAGCCAGAGCTGGAGCAGGCTCAAGGGCCTGTCCAGGGTCCTGCATCAAGACAGCACCTGCTGCCCCATCTGCCCCCACCCCAGTGAATCCGACAGAGGTGGAAGAACTTCTAACACAGAGAAGTTGAAGTAAAATAACCTGTGCCCCACCTCTAGAACAATTAACATGCTACCTTTTCTGTTTTGCAGTACTGCTGCATCCCTAGCATGCCACATTTTAAATTTTTCTCTGTATTTCTTCTCCCAGATTGTTGTTTAAAAATATGTGATAACTAGCACATATTAAGTATATAAAATAATGGGCTTCCATGTGGCATTTTCTTACATGCACGTCACCCATGCTGACTATATCCACCCTATTACCCTCTTATCTCTTTGTCTCCTCTCTGTTCTACATTTTTGAAAAAATTTTTACAGAACTATTTGAAAATAATGTAGACATAATACTTCACCTCTAAATACTGCAGTGTGTATCTCCTAAGAACAAAGAAATCCACAATGCTATCTAAGAAAGATAATTCCATAATATCTAGTATCTATTCCCTACTTAAAATGTCCCTAATTGTTCCCTAAATGTCTTTTATGCTTTTCTTGGCAGGGGTGATGGAGGAAAAATGGAAGAAGGATTAGGATACAGTCAAGATTTATATAATAGAGACCTTTATAATAATTAAAAAAAAAAAAAGAGTCAGGTGTGGTGATGCATACCTGTGATCCCAGTGACTCAGGAGGCTGAAGCAGGAGGATCAAGTTTGATGCTAGACTGGGCAGCTTAGTTAGGCCTTGTCTCAAAATAAAATATAACAAGTGTTTGGAGGCCAGGCAGGGTAGCCCATGCCTGTAATCTCAGCAACTCGGGAGGCTGAGGCAGGAGGATTATGAGTTCAAACCCAGCCTCAGCAACTTAGCTAGATCCTAAGCAACTCAGTGAGATCCTGTCTCTAATAAAATATAAAACAGGGCAGGGGATGTAGCACAGTAGTAAAGCACTCCTGGATTTAATTTTCAATGCCCCAAACTGCCCCCCCCCAAAGAATTCTTAGAATTCTTTCTTTTCTTTTCCTCCAGGCCTGGGGTTTGAACCCAGGGCCTCCCATGTGCTAGACAAGTGCTCTACCACTGAGCTAGAGCCCCAGTTTAAATTTTATTTTGAGACAGGGCTCAGGCTGGCCTTGGACTTTCGATCCTCAGCCTTGGAGCAGCTGGGGGTACAGGAATGCTCCACAGGCCCTGTGTCTTAAAATCCTTTGGTTGTGTTCAAGTACACACTTGTCACAGCAATGCACATGGAGTGTTGCTGACAGTCACGCTGAGAGGGTGGAGGGGATGTAGGAGGGAGAGCCAAGGCACACTCCAGGCAGAACTGACATATGTGGAGGAAGAGCAGGGGGGCTTGGGAATACCACCCAGGAGCAGCAGGCTTTATTGGTGGAGTAGGAGTTAAGTTCCAGGTACATAAGCCTTTCCAGCACCTGTGGGACATGAGTGCACGTGTGCAGGAAGCAGCTGGGAATGCTGGGCCTGGTGCTGAGCACAGCTAAGGAACATGTGTTGGCTAAGTCTCCCAGGACAACCTCCTCGCTGAAACTGATCTTCAAGGTCACCCACAACACCCCTGTTGGTAAATTCCATTTTCTTCTGTCATCTTACTTAACCTTCTAGCAGTATTTGGCACAGCAGATGGACTCCCTCCTTGAAATGCCTCCCTCTGGCAGCTGTCAGGCAACAATGACCTGCTTTCTCCCAGTCTCCCTTGCTGCCCCTCTCCTTCATCCAGCCTGAAAATGTTGGCACATACCAGGGCTTACTTCTCAGCCTTTTAACCATCCATATCCACTCTCTTTCAAGTAACCTCATCCATCCCTATGGGTTTTAAATGTACTTTACTATGAAAACTTTTGACCCAATATAAAACAGTATAATGAAACCCATGTGGGGCTGGAGTAGAGTGCCTACCTAGAATGCTCTAGGCCCTGGGTTCAATCCCTAGCACTGCAACAACAACAGAAAGAAACAAAACCTCATCTATCAATAAGTGGCTTCCTATATGCTGGTAACTCCCACATGTTGCCTGCAGCCTAGACATCTCCTCTGAGGAGTCATACAGCCAGCTGGCTATTGGTTTTTCCATCTGGAAAGCATGCAGTCACCTGAAACTTGACAAGATTCTCAACTGTTCCCTTTTCTTCCTCTCTGCAACACCAGCAAGCTCCCCAAAAGCTGTGTGCTCCTTATGCACTGATGTTCCCAACAGCCATCAGTGCCTGGCACAGGGCAGCACTTACATATTTAAGGAACAAATGACTCTAGGTAAATGGCACCAGTATCCTCTCACTTGGACATTAACTTTAATTCTGTCCTCTCTCCAAAATAAGACTACTTTTTAAAGAAATATATCATGTCACACTAAAATCTTATATTTACATACCTCTCAGAATAAAGTCCAAGCCTATAAGGCCTGAGGTTACATGGCCCGTGTTCCTTGCCGCCTCCTCCCTTTACTGCTGATTGAAGCCTTATGGACTTTCCTTGGGTTTCTGACTCCTTCCCACTCAAGTCTTTCTCACACAGGTCTCAGCTCAATGTCACTTTCTTGGCAAGGCCTCACATGAATTTGCACAAGTCTCCCTGGTCTTCTCTCTCTGAACATGCCCTAGCTGTAGTCTGTAGGTTTACCTCCAACGATCCTTCCCAGGTACAGTGGCCCTGGCTATCATGCCAGTTCCACGGGGCTTCACACATCACACAGTGCAACACGCGACTTAGCAAATTAACTGGGTCTAGGTGCAGTCCTGGAAATGCATGCCTTCAGGGAAGGCCGGCCAGAGGCTAGGAACAAGTGGTCACAAAGCATAGGGGAACCTGGGAGGGTCATCAAAGAACCAGCTGGTCATGGCCCAGCACAGCGGGGTGCTGGGCAGACCCGGGTCCAAATCCCCAGTGCACTAGCTCTGTGACCTTGGGCCTGGGGCAAATCTGTGGGGTGCACATCTTCAGTTTCAGCCGCCTCTTTTTCAAAGAACAAAATACAAAATCGATGGGCTCATATCACTGGTGCGGGGGAGGGAAAAAAAAGCAAAAAGCCACAAGGTAGATGCCGATGACGATAAAAATAAGAAGTTGTTATGTGAACCATCCTGGAAACATAAACGTCAGATTTATGCCAGGCCGCACACCATTCCAGGAAGGGCGCTCCCTGGGCCCCGCCGGCAGTGCCTACCCGGTCCGGCCTGCTCTGGGCGCCTCTGCCCGCGGCGCACACCCGCTCCTCCCTTCAGGTCGCTCCCGGCACTCGGCCGACCAGCCACGCAACGCGGGGTCCACCGCCGCGGGACCGGCGCCGAGACGGACAGCTCGGGAGTGCGCGCGCTCCCCGGCGCCCCGACGGACAGCCGCGGCGAACGCGCAGCGCGCGGGTCCCGAGCATAGGAGCGGAGCCGGCCTCCCGGGGCCCGGGCGGCGGGGCCACTCCCGCAGGACCGGCCGCGCCCCGGCTGCCCCCGCCCCGCCGCGAGCGCCGCCGTCACCCCGCGGCCCGCAGGCCTCCTCCTGACCTTGGCGCGGCAGCCCCGCCGCCCCGGGCCCGGCCCCGCCACGGGCCCCACCCCGGCCGCTCCCGGAAGGTCGGCGCCGCTCACCGGAGCCCGCAGGGCGCGGCCCGCAGCAGGCCCCCGGCCCCGGCCGCCGCGCGCGCGCACAGCACTCGCGCCGCCATCTTGCTCGGGAGCCGCCGCCGCCGCCGCCGCGAACCCCCCCCCCCCGTCCCCGCGCCGGGCCCCGCGGTCGCCGCAGTGAGCGCCGCCGCCGCCAGGGGGAGCTGCCGCCGGAGGCCTGGGGGAGCCGCGTGAGGCGGCGGCGGCGCCGGGTATCCGGGCAGCGGCGCGCGCAGCGCGGGCAGAGCCGCAGATGCGGCAGGTGTTCCCCGAAGCTCGGCGCTCCCAGCTTGCTGCGGAGTGAGGCACCGAGGGAACGTTACTGTTGCAAACAGCCACATCCTAATCCAAGCGCCCGGGGACACATGCCTAGCTCCGGTAGTGTAGACCACACTGCCCGTGCATTTTGGCACCAGACGGTGCTGGTCACCGGCAGCCCCGGCGCCCATCCCAAAGCCGTCCCGTCTGGTGGGGACCGGCGTGAATAACTGGATGGAGTGTCAGGTGTTCACACGAAGCAAGGTCGGCACCGAAGGGAGAGCTCCTGGAGGGGCTGGCTAGGCCGCTCCATCCTAGGGGCTCCGTCAGTGGAAGAAGGCAGAGCACTACCGGGGGAAGGAACCTAAGCAACAGGCGCGGGTCTCTGTGGTACTGTATAGGGAAAACTTTATTCGTGGGAAGATAAAAAAGGCACAGATGTAACCACAGCGAACACTTCAACCAAGACAGGAGAGAAGAAAGAGGTGGTCACAAAGCGGAAGAAGCGAGTGACCCGGTAGAGCAGGCCCCAGCTGCCAAAGGGGAGCATTCCAGGGAGGCCAGCCTGGGCCGCTTGGAGATTTGTGCATAGGAACAGTGGAGGCAAAAACTGGGTTTCTTGGCTAAGTTTTCTGAAGCTGCGGCTACTGGGGACCAAGGGGCAAAGCTATGTGATTGGGGCAGAATGTGAGCATAATAATAAGGGAAACAACCATTTGGGGCAGGGATGGGTCCTGTGGGTGGAGGAGGCATCCTAACAATTTACGTGGGGAGAAACACTTGTGTTTGGAGGTCAGTGGGAATAAGTTGAGTGGCCAAGGGAGTTCTCTGCCTCAACTAGCATCGGTTTAGTGAGCTTATGTAGACCCAAAGGGAGGCTTGTCCCAGTCCTGCAGAGTAGGTGTGGATGAGACCATGCCTTCACATACACAATGATAGTTTTTTTTTTCCCCCTTCAGTGCTGGGGACTGAACCCCAGCCTCCTGCTCTAGTAGGAGTTACACCCCAACCCATGAAATTTTTATTTAAATAAAAATACATTCCAGAGTATACATACACCTTTAAAACAGTTTATAGATGGCTTGGACTCTGTCCCAGAACTGATGGTACAGGTGTCCTGTCATCTATTGGGAGACCACTTGGGGAAGCATGAGATGCTCTGCATGAACCCTTTCCAACTAACCAGTGTCTCAAAGCTCTACCTGCAGACACTTAAGATACTGTTTCCTTTGCTCACCTATCTAGGCACTACACCAAGAACTCCATTTTGCAACGTCAGCTATCCAGTTTAGGTCTCAAGATATCAGCTTATCTTTCTCCTTCCGGTGCATTTTCGACACTGGTGCTATTTTAACTTTTATTGAAATGAAACTTTACCATTTTTAGAACTTCAAATAATCCACTGTCATTTAGAGTGTAACTCTTATTTCTCTAGTTCCACTTGTGTTTGAAATGTCCCAATAACTTTCTCCTGCTTTTAGAACCTCTGCTTATGCCTTCTCTCGGAGTTTTACATGCCCTTCCTTCTGCCCCAACGCCCTTTCCACAACCCTCATCTACTACCCCAAAGACTTCAAGATTCACTTCTAGCCAGGTGTGATGGTGCAGACCTATAATCCTTGAACTTGGCTGAGGCAGGAGGATCTCAAATTCAAGGTTGGTCAGCAACTTGGCAAGACCCTGTCTCAAAAAGGACTGGGGATGTAGCTCAGTGGTTAAAGGTCCCTGGGTTCATTGCCAGCACTGCCCACCCCCAAAGACTCTTAACACTGTCTCATTTCTCCAGAGAAAATGTTCTAAACGCTCCCCTAGGACTCAGTGGTAGAGTGCTTGCCGAGCATATGCAAGGTCCTGGGCTCAATCCCTAGCACCTCAAAAAAAAAAAAAAAAACAAAAAACAAAAAAAAACAACAACAGCAGGGCATGGTGATGTATATCTGTAATCCCAGTGACAAGGGAAGCTGAGGAAGGAGGATTGCAAGTTTGAGATCAGCCTCACAACTTAGCGAGGCCCTAAACAACTTAGTGAGAACTTGTCTCAAAAATTAAAAAAGGGGCTAGGGATGTGGCTCAGTGGTAAAGTGACCCTGGGTTCAATCCCTAGTACCAAAACAACAAAACCACCTCTCCCCTAAAAGGTTCTGTTTGCCATGAAGGCATCTATACATGCCTCCCTGCCTTGTTGAGGCCCTATGACTAATGCCTGTGGCCATCACCGAAACCCTGTTATATAACACACATATTAGCTGAGGCTGAAATATATCCCAAGTCTCTTTCTAGGAATCTGAAAACTGAGATACAACTCAGTATTTCCTCAGGTCAGAATCTAAGTTATCCCACTTTATTAACACATTGCCACAAAACCCAGAAACCTCCAACTTAAATACATTAAAAGTCCCACAACTTAATGTTTCACATTTTAAGAACTCATGCCCACTTCATCTAGCCTAGGATATAAACACCACAATGTCTAAAATTTTATTTTCTACATGTCAACATTCTTATTAATACAGCTCAGTCTTTTAAAATTTGACCACAAACATATTGACTGTTTCCCTTGTGAGTTGGTGAAATCAGAGAAAAAAAAATTTAATTTTGAATAGATACCATCAGAGAATATGACTTTATCAGTTTTTATTGAAGGGTTTTCTTCTCTAATAGAGGCTTAGAGAAATTCAAGATTCCTTTGAATGAAAATATAAATAAGAAAAATTGGACACAGTTTGGAATGAAACTGAAATTTTTTTTCCCCATAAAGCAAACATAGATCTTTCCCTTTGGCTCCTTCTTCCACTCCTTCACGGTGATGAAGAAACATCGAGTTCTTCTGGAGTTTTGGGGTAACTGGTTTCCAAACTGATGGGATTCTCCAGGTAGGTGGTTCCCGCACAGGGTTTTCCTGTCACTGGATCTATGACTTTGCCAACCTTGAAAACGATCTCGGCCAGTTCATGTTTCACATGCTTTGTTCGTGGAACAGGTAAAGCTTTGAGAAGCACAATATCCCCAACAGTGCACTGCTGAAGGGCATCGTGAGCAAAGTATGTTTTTCGCTTATTAAAATACTGTTGAGAGAAGGAGAGGAACAAATCAGTGACCAGACAATGCAGTGTAGAATATGAAAAACTAAAACACAGAACAAGCCAGGACTTGGGGACCAGAAGGCAGGATGCTTAAAGACCACTAGTACAGAGACTAGCTGCCTAATTCCTGGAAAGCCAGCATGGATTCTCCAGAGCTGGTCTTGTCCTTGGGTCTCCAGTCCATTCCCTTGCTCTATCCATTGTCATCTCTCCCTGCACTAAACTGTTCTCTCCCTGAAGCCTACAAACATGCTACTCTCTCCACTAGCTGCAAGTCACTGAACCACTTCAAACCATAAAAAGAGGCTCTAAGATGGGAGAGGCAAAGCCTGTTTGTATTTTCCCAGCAACTTGGGAGGCTGAGGCAGAAGGATTAAAGTTCAGCCCAAACTCAGCAACTTAGCAGGATCCTGTTTCAAAAATGAAAAGAAAAAGGCAGGGGGGAGGCTCTAAAGTTATCAAGAGAATAAACATTACCTATTTTTCATAACATCCTAACTGTAGCAAGAATTTCCATTTTATAGAGAGAAAAGCAGGCCGAGAGTCATGAAACATGCACAGTTGACAAGGGTCAGCATTCAAGCCAAGGTCTTCCAAGGCCAATGACCATACCACACACCACTCTTTGGCTCTCTCCTGTGCTTTTGTTCCCAGATAATGAACAGCATTCCTGACTACCTGTGGGCCCAACTTTGAATGCAGAAACCATCCTTGGTACCTGCCCTCCTCTCTGTGTACATCTAACAAGTCCATGACTCTGTTCATTCTTCCTGAAATCTGCTTGTCTCACTGCATGCCTACTGCTCCAGTTTTAGTTCAGATCCATTTCCATCCAAAACTTGTGCAATGGCTTCTACATCCCATTCCCGTACCTCCAGTCCTCATCCCCATTCCTATGTCTCCAAGTCTGTCTTTCATTTAATTAACAGATAAATTCCAAACCACAGAACACCCTTTGCAGTTCAGCTCCAACTGTCTTTGCCATTCATTCACAAGAGTGCCTACTAAGTATCAAGTTCTGGGCTCCATCTCGCCAGGCCACTTGCTGTTGAATGTCACACCTATGGTGGGGAAATGAACTTCTGCAAACTTCAGCAGAAGTTTGGTGAATGACTCCCCCCATATGGTCCTTGGTATAAAAATCTCATGTGAAATTCCGTGTAAATGTCTCTTAATTGAGGATGCTCTCTCAGGGCAATCTGGGAAGAGGGTGCCATTCTCTGCTCCCAAGGTGCTTTACTTATAGACTGACCACAAGTAGTTATACTGTTGAAATTAACTCTGCGCTACTGGATATGAATGACAACCAAGTCATATCCATAGGACAGGGCAGTACCTGGCTTGCGGTGGAGACTCCACACATTCTTCTTACAGGGAAATGTAGAACCCATAAAATGTTGGTGAGCTATGACTGCCATCTAAAACAGATATGCTCCTCACCTTTAACAAGTAGGGATCCAGAACAAGCCTGGTCACCCTCACTTTAGCGGTTTTCTGCATTGCTGTCCCAATCACCTTCCCCACGATCCATTTGGCATGGACCGATGACCGAGCTATTGACATTATGTGGTTCTTATCACCTGAAAGATAAATTTCAAAGTTAACATTCTGGTGGTTGTCTTGACGAACGAGCTACCACGAGAACTTCCCCGGTTCAGAAAAGGCTTTTGTTGCTCGAAACAGACACGCGGAGACATCCCGTCTTTCTTCAAGTCCAGGGGCCCACCTACGGGGCGCGCAAACCAGGGCCGGCGCCACCGGGCCCTCGCTGCCGGCCGCCCCGCTGCCTCTAGGCGGGGCGGGACCCTGACCCGGGGTGCCCGGGCCACGGAGGCCGTCCCCCGACACCCCTAGGGCGGGCTGCCCGCACCCGCCCCAGCAGTTCTCCCACCGCGGGGCAGGTGCGCCGCGCTCACCTCCAGTCCCGCGCACTTCCGAGGGCTGGGGAGTCTCACCGCACGCAAGCCCCGCCCCGGACCACGCTCGCAGGCGGGACCTCTCATTGGTCGGTTCTCCCATTGGCCGGTGCTCTTAGCAAGCGATTCAAGGCAGGGATCCACCCGGTCTCCCTTAAAGGGGCCTGGTCGTGATCGCTAGGGCTGGTAGCGTTCCGTTTACAAGTTCCGGGTGAGCGCTGTGATATGCGCGCGGGAGGTTCCAGCCTTTCCTCTTGTGTTTGGCTTATTCTTCCGGTGGTCGTTGGTGGGGGGGTGTTGGGGGGTGTTGGGGGGTTGGGCAAGGCCTTCCAAATCCAAGGAACTTGATTCTTCCTTTCCCCTTCTCTTTCCAGTACCAGGAATGAACCCAGGCCCTCGTGCTAGGAACCCCTTTAATTTTTTTTCTTTTTTCTTTTCTTTTTTTTCCTTCTTGAGACGAGTTTTCCCTTAGTTATTCAAGCTGGCCTGGAACCTGTGATCTTCCTGCCTCAGCTTCCCAAGTAACTGGGATTACAGGTGTGCACACAGCTTGGCCCCAGAGGGACTCTCATTCATCAAATATTGAAATTTAGGGGTCCCATTGCATAGGAGGTCTTTCTAATGTTCTGTTTGCACAGTAGGGTAGGTTGATGCATTTAATTGCATATGTCAAAATGTTATCAAGACAAAGAAATGGTAAATGTTCGAGATGATGTTATCCTGCTCTGATTATTATGCATTGTATACATAAATTGGATTATCACAGTGTACTTCATAATGTGTGCAATTACTGTCCACTAGAAATAAAAATGTTTATTTTTTTATTTCTCTTAAGCCACGACACAAAGAAAAGACCACCAACTCCAATTTTAAATCAAATTAAACCAAGCTTGAAATTCCGACTGGCCAGGACGTCTCTCCCAAAATCCTTGGGTTAGAAAACAGTCCTCTTGTTCTCTAGGAGCGCAGTTGTATAGCACAAAAAGTTGCAAAAGAGGGGGTGTCTTGAGAACTTACAGATAACAGGATTTTGACAAGCATAATGCAAAGGCAGGTAGTAGGTTAATGGTCTAAATGGTTCAGCACTTAGGGAGTAAATTAGATCCCAACATCAGAATTTATAAGGCGCCAGTAGGGTTTCAGAGAGGGTTATTATCTGGTCAGGGAAAGCCAGGCATGGGTGAGTTCAAGGCACAGGCAGGCATTCCAAGCAAGTTTAGAAATCGCAGTAGTTTATAGTAAAACGGAAATTAACTTTTCATGACTTTGTGACGAGATGGCTGCCAATCTTAAGATGGAATTAGGCTGGATTCATCATGGCATTGTGGTGAATGCCTGTCATCTCACCTACTTGGAAAGCTGAGGCAGGAGGATTGAAAGTTGGGGGTCAGCCTGGGCAATTTAGCAACACCATATCTCTAAATAAATAAAACATTGAAGCGTCTGAAGTTTCTAAGTTCTGACATTGACATAATCATTTCTATCCACTCTACTGCTTTTTAAGATAATCTTTTGTAGGTTTTTATGTGTGATTTTAGGTGTTCTCAATGTCTCCGAGCTAGAAGAAGTCTGGAGTGTGGACATATGTTTGCTTTCCTGCCCTTTTTATATGTCCTAGGCTTCCTTTGTTCTCCTGCCTTTTCCCCCTTATCTTTCTCCTTCCTGCATATGTGACTAGGTCCAGGAATGCTTGGTGGGATGACTCAAAGGTGGGAAACAGGTGGGCTGAAGGGGGAAGGGTAGGATGAAGTAGCCAAGGACACATTAACAACTTTATAGCTTCTTGTAGGGAGGGGCAATTCCTGGGACAGGTTACCTGGGCAGCATGTTGGAGCAGTGGCAGGTTCTTGATAAGCATGGAGGAAGGTCTCTGAAGGAATTAACATTTCAATCCCTCAGGGGACAGTCTCTAATTTGTCGAGACTCACTCAAAATTGGCCTGACTTGATTTACCTGTCTATACTGACTGCCGGTCTAATTCTGGCTTCACTGGGAGTGAGGGGACATGTATGCTCAGCAAGGGTCTGATATTGCCTGAACAGAGTAGGAGGAAGAGTGGCAGGATTTGAGGCTGGGTGGGGCTAGGCTGACACCCATGAGGCTTTTCTTGTTAAGGGACTGACTTTCTCTTCTAACAAAGCAGGAGCCTTTGAAAAGTATGAGCTGTTTTTCTGGTTTTCAAGATCTTTCTGGTAGCTGTTGAAGATAGAATAGAGTTGGGAGGAGCTGGAGGCTGGATGTATCATTAGGGGATGATGAAGACCTAAACTAGAGCAATGGGAATGAAAGACTAAGGATTGGAGCAGCTGTGGAGAAAATTGATAGCTGCATGAGACAGCAAGAGGACAATTAAGTATGAATTAGCATGTTCATGCTGCAGTAACCAGCGCCACAGGCTGAACAGCGTAAAAATACAAATCTGTTTGCCCCCAGTTCTGGAGGCTAGAAGTTCAGGATGACAGTTTTGCCAATTCAGTTTCTTACCCACTTTCTTACTTTGCTTTGTCACTGTCCCTCCTCTGACTCCTCTGAGTCTTCTAATTTACAGGACCTGACCTTGAAGCTCCTTCTCTGTCCTTGTAGAATCCAGTTTGAGCAAGGACCTGCCAAGTCAGCATGGCACCTCTCCCCCCACTCAGTGGTGACTCTCCTCCCTAGTCTGCAGTATCGTGGGGCACTGGCCTGCCTTCAGCAAGAATCTACCTTGCTCTGTCATTTCTCCCAGCCATTTGCATTCACAGACCCCATCCTTCTCCTCAATCTTCCCCAGTCCTCCTGCCTCAGCTTTCCAAGTAGGTGAGATGACAAGCATTTCTTCTCCTTGCTCCACATCTCCACATCTCCACTGGGGTTCAGTGTCCAGCTGGCCTCTCTCACTTCAAGACACACTGCAGTGGTCCCTGTGCTTTGGTAGTCCTCCATAAGTCTCACTTACCAGCTTTGAAAGTTTCACGGATAGTGTTTCTTGAACAGTCTGCATGCAGAGTGCAGGGAATCAGGGAGGAGTCGGGGGTCCGAAGGAGCCTGCACAGAGCAGTGAGACACACCTACAAGAGATCTAGAGGTCTGGTCACCTCTGTCTCAGGCCAGAGTCTCCTTTATAGTTTCATCACTATCACATCATCTTATGCAAGCAGAGTTTCTGAGCCTACGAAGTTCTATCACCTCGGGTAAATGACTTAATTTATCTGCCTTCAGGATGTTCATATAAATCTATAAGGCACAGATTACATATTCAATAAATGTTAATTTGCTTGTGTCTCATTTATAACCTGAATGTTTCTCTGTAGAAATTTAAGAAATCCCTGTAAATAAATATATAGCATCACCCAACATTTATAGAATTTTTCTAGTTACTTAGGCATTATGATAAATTTTATTTATATGCTCTCCTTTAATACCTACCACAAATTTATTAGGCAGAAAATAACTATTGGTTCTATGTTATAGATGAGGAAACTGATGGCCAGAGAGCTAAATGACTTGCTCTAGGTCTCATAGCCACCAAATGGAAGAACGGGAACTTGAACTTTGGCAGCCCCTGCCATACTTGTCTGCCTCCTAGCCACATGAGACAACTGTTTAAGTGCCTATTCTGTTGCCAGAACTGTAGATATAATTAAAGGACACAGGGTTTTTTTTTCCCTATGAGGTTAGACTCAGCTTTGACTAGAATGTATGTGTCTCTTCAAAATTCCTATGTTGGAACCTATAACCCAATGCGATAGTGTTAAGAAGTGGAACCCAGGTGTGGTAGCATAAGCTATAATCCCAACAAAAGGTTGATTGTAACAGTGACTGCACAGGGTTAGCAAAGGGTGGAGGAAGGGTGGAAGGAAGGCTGGGAGGAGGCTGGTGGAGAGTAAAAACTGGTAGTCCTAGGTAGACCTAAGCAAAGGAATGAGGTTGAGAGGGCCAGTCTACAGACTGCCCTGACTGTGTAGTGAGGACACAAAGACCTTGTGAGGCTTTTAAGGGGATCTGAACCCCACTGGATTTCTTTTAGAAAGCATTTACAGAGACCACTCAGTAAAGCCAATAGGAAATGTTACATTCCTCAGCAAATATGGCTAAGTGTGGGAGAAATGCAGACTGTTAAGAAGAACACAAGTCAGCCCTCAGGGAGTCTTCGGTGACCTTTACACAGAGCAGATGCCAGGACTCAGGGAGCCAGGATAGGCAGAAGCAAAGCTTGCCACCATAAAATCTGTAAAAATCAGTTCCAACTAGAACTGGTGGGCGAGAGACAAGCGTTGCCTTGAACCTTCAGCACATCATTGCAGTAGTAAAATCCATGAAGCAAGATTGGCACAGAGCTGGGCTTTCTGAGAAACTAAGGCTGTGCAAAGACCCTCCTTTAAACCCCAGATTGTTGCAATTAGGTCTGAAAGATTTCAGACAGGTCGCTCTGACTAACAGACATGAGTTTATTGAAGAGATAGTAAATGGGAAAGGCGACACTCTCAAGGGAGAGAATGGGTCCTCTCAGAGGAGACGGATGCATGCTTCTCCTACAGTCCAGTTTTACTGGAGTCCTTGGAAGTTTCCAGAGACTTTGATCTGTCCCACACTGTATCCTCACGGTGCTCCAGGAGCCCTGGGGCTTGTGGTGGCATGGGTAGTCGATCCCACACTGCCACCTACCAGTCATCAGTGTCCCTGCATCTGGAGGCCGCTTAGACTCAGCATGAGCAGCCCAGACTCAGGCCTTCTGCAAACCCCCGCATTTTCTGTTTCCAGGCATTCCTGGAAATCCCAGGATCTACTGAACTATGTTTTCAGGGTCCTGATGAAAATAATATTCCTGAGATCTCAAATAGCATAGGTGTTCTTGAGAACTTACAATTGTACAAATAATGAGGACACAAAGAACTTGTGAGGTTTTTAAGGGGATCTGAACCCATTTTTGGCATAAGGTAAACTTCAATAGAAAATTAATTTACAGCCAGTGCAGTAGCACAAGCCTGTTATCCCATTG